ACTGTTTTTTAGGGAGAATTTTTTTACATGAACAAAGATACACTATCATTAAAGATTAATGGAAAAAATTTGTAGTCAAAGATTTTTTGTAAATAATAAATGTATATCTCGAGACAACTAACTGAAAATTTCATTATTAAAATAAAAAAGGTACAAGAGCTTCATTTTTGTTTCTAGTGGCATGTGAAAATTTTTTTATATCTATGCTGGTTACTTTGTCAAAAAAATAATTATTCTTCGACAAATTGCTTCTGAGACATTTATTGAACAAAGATTACATATATTTACCTTATTTGAGTATAGCTGTAAGACACATTATTTTAATTATGTATGGTTTGAATATTTTTTACAACGATACAATAAATAGAAACAAGGTTTTTTCCACATTAAGTGTGTGTTTATTGGTTTACGAAAGAAAAATATTCGTGTACATTTGTTGTATAAAATCAGTCGATACACATTCCTTAAATATGTGTCCTGATGCGACACTGAGTTGTTTTTTCAATGAATTTAATACAAAAATTGCTTGCCCTACCTTAGGTATAAATAAAAAAAATAAAAAAATTCATAATAATGAACTATAACTAAACAATGGTTGTGCAGTCAAATGGAAAATAGATTTTTGACGATTCATTAATACCGCAATGAGTACAAGCAATTAGTACAAAGTAATGGAAGGATCATCCAGTAGGAAAAAATTTTAATGAGAAAAATATCGAACTTTTACAATAGATTTACTCAAATGACGTGGTCTCACGGTATCTAATCGCCTCCCGTACATTGATGTATAAAGGAAGTTCGACCATTTTTAGAGACTGTCGATAATTATGAAGCCTCAGGCGCAAAAAAAATAGTAATGAAACTATCAAAGTTTTATTCCTGTTTCAGTTAAAACACAAACATAAAAATTTCGTCTAAAATCGAATGGATTACAAACGTTTTTTATTTGCAATATTTTGACCAGTTCAATATTAAAGTCCCACAAAACTTGTCCAGGTGAACTCAATCAATGTACCGATCCTTGAGTATTTAGTAAATTTATTCTACTTAAAGAGTTACCCAAATTACGTTATGATTTTTACATACAAATATATATGTATAATTATTGTGTAATTTAATGCGCGTCACGTAATGTACTGTGTATACCGATTTCATCGGTGGCAATGAGTGGGTGGCTTTTTAAAATTTATCTGTAAAGCCTTGCCTTGGGGAGAACAAGGTTGTTACGTGGTGCCAAAGGAACCAGGTGGGCCAACCACGTTTACACGGACAGCTGCAATAATTCTCCCGTTGAATGAGATAAAAACAAAGTAGTGGAAGTTGGCTCAACCATCCCGTATCCTCGCTCACCGCAAATTCTTTGTATTCCTGGACGGCGAAGGACAATCCAACGAGTCGGACGAACCACCCACCCTCCAATTAAATTACGATGATGCGTCAATTGTTGTCAGGATGCTGCACCTAGTGATTATTCCTAAGCTCGTTACCTTCCCTTCGAAGTGCTCCAGGAAGGCGCGGGTTGGCTCAAGGTGTTTTTCATGACTATATGGTTCCAAGGATACGCCCAAGGGCGGATGTATAGTGACCTGCAGCCACGTGAAACCACCCTGCACGTAATGAAAGCCTGAAACTCTCGAGTGATCATGGGTACTTCTTGGCCTGTCTCCCAGAAGATCGGCACGGCTTGAACATTTTGCTGTGCGCACTTTGATCGAGGTCAAGCTGGTGGACACTGGGTGGGCCAACCTGGCCATGTATATGTATACTCAACTTGGAGCATTTGTCCACGTTGTTGCTGAACCTCTAGGCTAAATCACTTGGAAATGGACATGGTTCACTGTTTTTATTTTGCCTATTATGTGAAAAAAGCCGTCGTGTACTCGAGTACAGGAAAAGCAGTCACCGGCAGAGAACTGTATGGAAGAGGACAGTTTGATGACAAAATCGAGCGCTCGATGATTTGTGCATGAGCAAAAGTGCGAAAGTCTTAATGAAGATGAGGTGGAGGAGAATGAAATATAACCAAAGACTTTGCTTGATTGAAAATGTGCTTAGCAAGTTTTTTTTCAATGATTAAGTAAAAGGCAATGCCAGAGGAAAAAAAAAAAAAAAAAAAAAAATCAGTGGGTTCCAAGGCAAACGGTTATACGTTTGACGTTCCGTGCTCGACTTGTGTGGCCGAAACACTCGCCGAGCGTCGGTGCTCTCCGACCAGCACCGATCAAGTTGAAGCCAGAGCCTCGAAGCTATACTGATGGCCGTCGCCTACTGCAAGACTCGGGTCGTCTTGTGCACACGTATATACGTATACATGCATCGGTGATTCAGCCGTAAGTGGCTCGAAGAAAAATCGTTAAAAATCCATCTATATGCCGTCCACAGTTTTACCTCGCACATTCCTCACTAATTGCCAATAGCGATACTCATCACAACTTATAGTAGAGTCATTACAAATACTGATTTCTATGTTTAATACTTTGGATTATCGATTGCTTGCACGGAAGCTTTTGGATGAGAATTTTTCCAGTATATAAGTGCAGCTGTATCGGCAATTATCTTCCCAACCCTATACGTACTCCACAGCCTCTGCAATAAATGTGGAGGGAATTACCTGCTATTTCCTCGTGTGGGGTATTATCATCAACCTCGATGCTTCACAACCCTTCAGAACCCTTGCCAAAGTTATTTTTTCGCCAAGTAGTGTAACTCAATATCAAGTCAGCCGCGGGCGAAATCGCTCCACACGAACATTCCAACAATTTTTCCTTCAAAAACCACAACATTAGCAAACTGTACGATTTTCACTCCAAGCCCAAACAATACAAGCTTCAAAAAACGAAGAAGCAGAAAAAAAACATAGTCTCCTTCCCGGTGTACAGCTCAGCTTCATCGTCCTTTCGAGCCAATTGTCTCGTCAAGAGTGGCAAACAAGGATCCAGGCACTCGCCCAACCTCGGACGAGCTGTCTTCCCCCCCGCCTTGCAATTTACGGAATCCCCGACCCATCCTCTCCCGAGCTCATCACACGCGAGTGCCATAGCCGGGTGACGTTCTCCGGACCAGTCCAGGGTGTTAATTGGAAAATGCTCGCTCGCGACTATACAGGCCGAGCTGGCTGTTGCACCTCGAGAGTAATTTCCTGCTCATTGTCTCGGGGAAATCACGGATATTCAACGCTTACACGCCCGTGTAAAGGGAGGCGGTAGGTTGGTACTCATTTGTATACGTGTGTGTACGATACATAAATGCGGGGGTTAACGAGACGCCCCGATAAACGGAGGATCGTGATGAGGGACGTGGTGGAATTGACGATTACTCGTACTTTACGAGAATCTCGTTTCACCGGGCGTCCACTGCATACCTGATAAAGGATTTTTTTTTTTTTTTTCCATACTTTTTAAACATTGCTGAGTAATTGCTTGTTTGAGTTTACTGGCGTTACTTGCATCCAAACCGCTGCGGCAAATAATCATGTGTTAAAAACAAAATATCCAGTGATGGAAATATTTTGTTTTCAAACAAACAAAAAAAACAAAAAAACAAAATATTTATAAAATAAAACGAATAAGCAATAAAGAAATAAAACTCTTTGTGAGTTCATCGTCAATTAGTGCTGCTCGTGCGTTATTTCAAATTCAGGGTGCAGGTGAGTGGGTGTGCATACGTAAAGATGCGCGCTGTGAGTTTCCAAGGGGGTAGGGGAGGTGTGGTCCAGACAAGTAATGGATCGAGCTCATCCCTCTCTGGCCCGGGTGAATTCATATATTACACATGCGTATACATGCTTTAGCTACACTGCATGGAATTAACGTTGAGTTGGGAAATCGTAGGGGTGAAGAGGGAGCACCCCAGATTTCAGCTATGCATAATTATGAGGAAGCTTGGGAAACGAGAAGCACCTTGGAAGTTTTTTTATTTTGCTGCAGTGGTCAAAGCATTTTTAAGACTCACAGCGTTTTATCCTCATCAGACGCACATGGATAGGCTTTTTTTTCCAACGAATGAATTTACGTTTATTTTAAATAAATCTTATATACGTCTTAGTACTATGGTGTTTGCTGTTGTTGAAATTTATTATAAAATTTGGCTTTTTTTGTCATGCTCACGTTACATAAACAAAGTTGGAAAAATGTCTGACTAATCGATCAAATGATGAGTGATTCAAACTGATTACGAAGAACTTTGAGCCCATGGAAAGACTAAAATAAATTTTGCACTCTACGTTTGAAAATGAAATTCTCGCACAATTAACTGACATTCATCAAATTGTCGCGACATTCTTAGTGCCTCGTTACGTAATATTGGTGTCCGTATTAGGCAGGTACTCGCCTACATGCCCCCTTGTATACCCCATATAATCCAATACACATCCTCGCATCAAAACAGTCCGCGCAAGCTTCACAGGGAGGAGAAAACCAGCCCCCGAAACAACTTTAACCCCATCACCCGCTGCACGATTTTATTCATCCCCCAGAGTCGGCCGTAAATCACCGCGTAATCTCCCACCCCTCGGTCATTTGATGCACCTGCACGGTATATATATATATATATGTGTGTGTATACATAAATATACCTCCGTATATATGAACAGAGCGAAGGATGCACGGCAAACGTTTACGATGTATACAGGTGTACTCTCTCGTAAAAACTTTTACACTCCCGTGTAATATATGACGCACTCTCTGCTCAACGAGTCGACCGTACGCCATACACCGAATTAAAACAACAAGGGATCATCTCAAAATGCAGGACTAAAATGGCACAAACACTTTATGCGTTAGTCGTCCTTATCATTTCATATAATCATGAATGGAGGTGTGCGCAAATACATATATTTTATATATGTGTTGTGTACAACTGCAAGTGTGCCGTCAAACTAATTAATACAGTCGTCCAGCCGACCAGGCGTAAGCTGCATGCAATATATTATAGGCAGACAGGTTGAAAAGAGCGAGTCCCCCGATGGTCCCGGTCGCGTTAGACGCGTAACATTAGCTCGAATGTATGCATGTATGGACGGAGGTAAGTAAGAGATGAATGGGAAAGGAAGGGGCGGGGTGGGGGAGAAGCGAGCCATTTCGTTATTGGTTAGCTGAGACGTCCCATTACACGAGTGCTCTTTAAAGCCGCTCGTACAAATGCGATCAATCCCCCCTTTGGTTGCGTATAGCGAGCGCTTTGTGAGCCAAGTCGCGGGTGGAGCTTCGAGGAGTATACAGAGGTAAGGAGTGTATACGAGAGGAGAGGGTGCTTACACGGCAGTCATTAGCTAATTGCTCCGGAGCTCTACGGCGTGTGTGTACACGGGATGGGAGCACCGAGAAAGGCTGGCATGCAAATGAACTCTGCGTCGGGTCCTACGAGGACTCGGTGAATTTGGGGATTTTAGGTTGAGGCAAGGGGAGAGGTGCGCCGCTCAAAGTCGCTGGTTTTCGGTGTTGCGTAGTTTCATTGCCGGGGATCCGATATGAAAAATCATATATTATTCTGTTGCCACGTCGGCTTTTCCGTGATTTTGTTTGGTTGAAACGTGGCAAACGCGGACCATAAAATCACGAATTTCTCGCAAATCTCTACAAAGAGGGTGTATTAAATTTTTCGACCGAAGCGCCGCGTGGGAATAAAGTATGTATAGTGTAGTTTTACCAATTATTATTATTATTTTTTTTTTCCTTTCAGTATGTAAAATGAGAAGTCAGTCCACCTTGGTCCTCCTCCTTTAAAACATCGTATGAGTGTATGTAGACCCCAAACAAGCCCCTTAAGAATGCAATTCAACCTTTTCATCTAAAAAAAAAAAAAAAAAAAAAAAAAAAAAAAAGCCACTAACAAAGATCGTTCTCCTCCTTCTCGTTGCAGGGAGCAGCGGAGCAAACGGACAGGATCCAGAAGAGCCGTCGACCCCGCGGGCCGCAGTTTCGGTAAGTACACGCGCGCTCTAATCACCGTACGCCCACTGCTATCACGCACACGCTAAAATACACCAAGGGGAAAAAAAAAAAAAAAAAATAGAAAATAGCTCCTCCACCTGGCCCCAGCGTCGTGGAACTAGCCCTCTCGAGCGCTACTCTCTCCCCCTTTTGATAATAAGCTGTACGGCGAGATTCACTGCACTGGGCTGCTGCTGAACACACGTGCAGTTTAATATCCCGCTGTTTGAACAGCTTCCGCGAGCTTTCGAGGCTACGGTTAACTGCTTCGAAAGGGTGGAGTGGAAAAAAAAAAAAGTTGTGCTTTTTTCCATTCACGGGCTGGGCTATTTTTCTTTTTTCTCACCCCCACGAAGAGGGGCCTCGGTTCGTCTTCTTGACTGAATTTTAATGAGTGGCTGCGCTCGCGGATGGATGAACTTGGCAGTACTTGGTCTTTCATCGCGATATGTGAGTTTTTTTCAAAAGCAGGATGAATTTTTCTTTTCGTTGGTCAATCCTTGCACCTGCCGCGTTTACGTATGGGTCTTTCAAAGAATTTCTTGTTTTTTTCGAACGACTCTGGGTTTTTGACGGAAAAATTAATATATATACATACACCTTTGGGTGCACGTGCAGGATAGAACGAGTCCCACAATGGACGAGTGAGCAGCTGCTGATGTTTGGAATAGTTGGACCCTAATAAGTTGGCCATTGTGTTCGACACTGGAAGCCTCATATTTTAGGAGCCATTGTCGTAGGCGCGCCTTTGTCCGTGCGAGCTATTGTTGAATTTTTGCCGCGAATGTAGCTTTACTGTGTATACACTGAGATTTTTTTTTTGCTTTCGATAAACGTGAGAAATGCCTCTATACTTTTCACTTTGAACGATAGAAAAATAATTTTCCTACCTCGGGCGTTTTTGAGAGGCTGGTGTGCCCTCGATAGGAAAAATAGCATTCGCCACATAAGCGCCATCGCTCCGTGGCTACCTTACGTCCCTTGGGCCGCAAAATAGCCCCGGAGACGATGGCACTTATCCGACGAAAACTACCATTCCATAAGCTCGCGATTAAAAAGCCCTCCTTGCCATGCTTCATGAAGCCAATAAGAGTTTCAAAACAACTTCAAAGCGTTCAATTCAAACATCTAATTTTCACGAAATGCATTTGCAGTAAGGCGCATCAAAGAGAGCGAAATTCATGGTCCGTCAAATACTCCACCACTTCTGGTACACCGAATAATTTCTCTTTCGAAACTGTTGCCACTGCATCCCCTATCCAACTCAATAATGTTTGCTCATGAAAAGTGGGCGATTCAAACGATTGTTCATCGACCGGCCCAAAATTGAAAAAACTGTACGCTCGCCTGTAGGTACAATTCCCCCCCATGGAAAAATGAATGCACCAGATGGCCCTCCCCCGATGATTAAAAAACCCTCGCCGCGAACCAGTTAGATCCCCAAAACCACCGGGAAGGCCCAAACTCCCCCGCGGCAAACAACATCCAAAGGCACGTGGAGTAATTAACGCGTCTGCCATTGCCCGCAGGAAGTTACCTCGGCAGCGCAATCGAACACCAGCCCCGGACGGAGTTCGAGTTCGGAAGAAGTTGACGATAGTTTGGAAGAAGTCGAGGGGGACTCGTCGGGGATCGAGGACGAGGAGCCGGGCAGATCCGACGACGACAAACACGAGGAGGAGGAGGAGGAGGAGTACGACGACGCTAGCGAGCCCGATGACGACGAGCTGGAGGAGGAGCTGCGGGAGGCGGGCGGGGACGCGACCGCAATGCCGGCGCTGATTACAGGCGGGAGCGAGCCAGACATTAACGGCGAAAAGGTGAGACTCGGGTGTTACTTGGGGACTGTGTACTGACGCTTCGATCGAGAGTTTCGGGGGTTATTCTTGGGATTTCAAGGCATGACGGGGATCATTTGTATATATCTTTGGTAGGTATAACATGTACGTGTAAGACTCTCATCGTGGGAAGGGACGGATGTTTGTCTTTTAAAAGAAACTTGCTCGTACCGAGCTGCGTTGAAGAGGGTCTCGATGGCTCTGGGTTATATCCGTGCGGTGTACTCTCGCAATGTATCCAATCAAATGGACAAAGAGTTAGTTTTTATTCTCATAAAGTGCCATAATTTCAAATGATCTGCTTAGTACTAAGGATGAATTTCGTAAAACTGCAACAACCAATGATGATTTTTTATTTGTCATCGATAACCCTATACGAGATCTTACAGTTACAATGACTCGTTGTGGCCGATGAAAGACAAACATTCTTTTTAAAAGACAAAGTACTCGTCGATACAGCCGATTGTTACACCGTATACATGCAAAATTAAACTAATGAGTACATAGAAAAAAAAAAAAAAAAAAAAAACAGTGACTTATTTTTATCACCAAAACGTACGTATTTATTTCTGAGAACAGCGCATCTGCAATCCGTGATCCGATCCGTGACAATAGTCCCTTGTATTTCCACTGGAGCACAAAAACATAATCCACATAAATCGACTGTTGTTATGTTGCAAAAAAAAATTTAAAGCTCAAAACTGTAGTGTTGCCTGAATCACATACTATGCGTAATCAGCTCCACGCGCAGGTAATAAAGTTTTAAACTACTTATTCATTTTCGTTACGCTGTTTCGTAATCACCCACAAAGTATAAAGCTCATTGCGATGTTAATACAAAGCTCATCATGAATGAAAAGGCAAACTGAAATCGAAATATTGCGGATATCGTAAATATACTACACGGCACGACTGATCATTTGAAATTACCCTTAAAGATCTTATGGTCATGAAAATTCAAAAAAAAAAGTCAATTATCGCACCATGGCCCTTGTAGTCAGGAGAAAACCCAGAAAATTCGAGCACAAAAAATATACACACCATCAGAGAGAGAGAGAGAAAAAAGATCCGCAAGCACTTCATTTCCGAGACGCTTCCTCTCTGTATATATATATATTTGGGACGAGTCGAAGGAAGGGGCTACAAAAAGGGAGGCCTTGCCGCGCAAACGAAGTCCAGGAGTTGAGGCGCGTTTCACTTTTAGTACGCACTAAGAGGATAATGCACATCCCCCCCGGGGGCATGGCAACTTTAACGCGCCGAGGGGGGATCATTAAGTTTCGCTGGAGGAAATTACTTTCGCCCGGACGCTGCGTTCGCTTCTCGGACGTTTTAACGGTGCAACCCCCTTTCCCCCCTCCCCTTTATCCCCGTCGTCTTTAATCGCAGTTTTTCCGCGGAACGTTGGCTGGTACCTTGTTTTGTTTAGCCGTTGTTTCCCTTCCCAATTCTCGCACGGGATAGCCATTTTTTCCCCTTACTGTTACGCGTTTTACCCCCATGTCGTTTATATATTTTAAACTATTGGATATTTTACCTTGGCGGTTGGGTGAGATGAACGGATGATTTTTACTTGGGTCGACAAAGAACGTAAGATGACTCTTTACTCCCACGATTGATGCTCTTCTATCATTTTTTTTCTTTTTTTTTTTTCCACGGTAAAAAAGATGGACCTGCACGAATGCCAATATGTAGGGGATGACGTATATTATCTTTTCCCCGTGAAAGCAAAATGTTTCAACTCGTACATTTCCGACAACCCACGCCAAAGGAGTGCCACTTTTGAGTTGATAGCGCTATACCCGAGACTTTTCGCTGGTCGCACTTTTGAGCCCAGATTGGATGAAACTCTAACTACCCCCACTCTCAGAGTCTAGATAAGTAAGGGAAATTGGTTTCCTCTCCTGTGGAAGTATACTTTTGTACGTCCATGAGCTGCGCTTTTAAGGCGTTGGCTCTTTTAGCCTCGAGATGATCTCTGGGTGTTTGTCAACGTTCCGGACAAAATATCCAAAAAGTGTCCTCCAGAATTTTTTTAAACGATCAAAACCAATATTTGGAAGGCCCGGTCGAGACAGTCATGCTTTTTTCCACCGCTTGGATATTTCGTTCGTACACTCCGAGGCTGAAAAAAAGTACCCCTAGACACGCGGGATCGTGTCAAGAGGAGCCACTAAAAAAATACTCTCCTATACTCGGCTGCTTTTTCAACCGAAACGTGAATTAGCTTAACCCAATTTTGAGGCTCGGTTGGCCTGTGCAGTGTACCGTTCGATTTTGATTGAGCATCAGGTGGGCGAGCTGTTCGAGTTCGAGAGGAGGAAGAAGTCGGGGAATGATCCGGCGAAAGACAAGCGCGAGCCAACGGTGAAAAAGGAGCTCAACCAGCAGAAGGAAGTGTTGACCGCCGAGAAGCAGCTCCGTCAATCGGACCTCGCTGGGACGCCCGTGGCTCTCGAAAAGAATACGGAGGACAGGGTGAGTCGTTTGCTCCTCGAACTCGATTGTCATTTTTTTTTTTTTTTTTTTTTTTTTTTTTTTCATTATCAGTTGAAAAAAATTGATTGCTAATAAATATCATTGCAATGAATTTATTAGTCTCTGACACGTGATGGATCTAAGACATTAGATTGTATTATGAAACCTTCCAATACCAGAAAATAATGACAACTTGGTTATAAAAATTGATATGATTTACAGTGCTGCTACTTACAAAAACAAGTTGTAAAAATGCGTACAGGTCTACGAGAGAGAAGAATTAGTACTTTGTTGTTCCTGTTACGGAATTTATCGATACAAATTTCTCGTACCTCGGTTTAAACTAAAGTTATTAAGAATTTTTATAATATAGAATTGATGTTTTGTCAATTTCTACGTAAACAGTATGTTCAAGGGTTACATTTATCAACTGAAATTTCGATGTCGTTGAAAAGGGAAAGAAAACCGATATCATAACGACTTCATTTTTTCATTTATTGAATTATCTATTTGTTGATGGTCATTATTTGTCAAGAGATATCATTAAATTAATAATAATTGTTTAAGAGAACGCGTACAATCGTGATTTTTACTAAAAAGTCTAAAAAAATGTAAAACGTTCCAAAATACGATGCAAACAAATACCAACATAGTGAATACTTGCTTCCGTGCAAACAGCCACGAGACCGCGCAGTAAAAAGCCGTTCCGTTCATCGAACAAGTGGAGGAGAGCCAGAAGATACTCGAAAAGAAAGAAAAATACCGGTGAAAAAAAAGTGCATGGTAAAAAGAAAAAAAAAGGGGGGGGAGGAGTCGGAAACAAGTTGCGTTTCACGGCTGCGCGAGTAGCACCGGATGTCATTACACGCGGAGCCACATGTGCCCGGTAAAACTTGGCGTGAGGAAGCAGCTGAGGCGTCGGGAAACTGTTTTTCTGGCTCTGGTTTTTTTTTTTTTTTTTTTTTTTACTTGTACTGAACAGATTTTACGGTAATCCCGTTTTGTTTTCGATTCCTACAGTACTTCGTTACCGTTTCATTGTAGCTTCGTTGCTTCGATGGAAATTGTTTGATGGAAAAATCGACAATTAATTTTTTTTAACTTTCATTATTCCATTAAAATGTTGTACGGTTATAGTTTTTTTTAACGAAGCTTGGGTAATCGAGGGTACTACAATCAATTTTACAATCGAAGCTAACGAACGGCGCAGTATTCATTAAATAGTTATCGAGTTACGAAATAAAAATGTGATTAAATGAAAAAAAAAAGACTTTGTTTCACAATATATCTACGGGACAGTGGGGTGTTAATTTTTAAAATATCAAAGAATTCCATCTCTCTGAATTATACTTCGAATAAAAGTCAAGAAAGTTATTACATATAAAAAACGTCTAGAATAATCAATTAAAANAAAAAAAAAAAAAAAAAACTCGTTTAATCAATTAGAGCCAATTAAATTGGAGATTTTACATAGATCTGGTTATTTATCTCAAAACATTACTTGTAAACATTATTGTATGAAAAAAACAATAATTTCAAAAATATATCCCCACGCGTACAACACTCCTCGAAGGACTGCTCGCTTCGTGCAAGGGCCACTCGTACTATTTGCATAAGCAGTTACTCCATACAAAACGAACGAACGAAGCGTCGAAAAATAAGCCACTCGCGCGAAACGTTCAGAGACACCTAATGGGCAGAAATAGAGCGGGAAGTCGAAAATACATACATACATACACCCAACTCCCTCAAATTGCATCTGCTATCTGATAAAGTAACGAGGAAGGGCGCACACAGAGGGAGGGATACACGAGTAGTACACGTATAAACACATACACATATTACATACTGCACGCACGTGATGCATGTCACACGTAGTTGCAGGAAAGGAAAAGCGACGTGGGCGGACTGCGTGGGCCGGAGCCGTCCCCGGGGACTGTCGCGTCGAGCGAATCGAGTTTTGGGCAACAGCCACCGGAGGGGAGGAAGAGGAAGAGGCAGGACGACGAGCTCGAGGCTTACTTGATCGACGCCTACGCGGCCTTAGCCGAGAGGCTAAAACTCCACCGGGGACTCGGGGTAAGTGTGTCTGTGTCTGTGTATGCAGTGTGGGCTCTCCTGTACCCTGCTTTTTTTACCCTCCGCGCGGCTCATACTTGCAAAGTGTGGGTATATAACGCTTTGCTGTCTGCAGTGCTTATGCGATGTATAAGTCGATTTTCAGACTCCGAGTAGCGCTGGTATTGTGTACACCTGGAGGTGGATATATGTGTGTATATACATCTCTGCCGAGGAGTTACACAAAGTTGGGGTGAAGTTGGAAATTTTTTTTTTTTTTTCGTTCACTTTTCTACCAGCTTTAATCCAGTTTACTTTTTTTTTTCTTTTCCTTACTTTTCTCTCGGAATTTTCCAGCTGGGATTTCGCATTACCGGGCTCGTGGGGAGTTTTTCTCGCGTGTTTGATTTTTTCGACGAGTCTTTGCGTGGTATCGTTGTTTTTTTTTTTTCATTTTGTTTTTTATGGATTTTAAGGTAAAATATTTGCGAAAGAAAGCCTATTTTAATATGGAAGTCGATTTTCTCGGAAATACTGTTACAGCACGAGAAAATTCTGCAGCTGACTTTAGAGAGCAGAGAATATATGATCAAAGAAGTTTTTTCCTACAATTTTTTCAAAGTAATCGCTTTCAAAAGCACAATTTCAAGTCTATATATTATCGTCTGCACTTATGCAAAAATGACATATGAAGCAGATTTTTTAAATAACCTAAACTTTTTTAATTTTTACGCTTTATTTTGACTTACTAAAAATTTCAATAAATAGTTCATCTTTTTTTAACAATGATATGTTTTGCTTGCACAAGAGAATCCAGCAGAAAAAACGTATGATTTTCAAAAAATCTCAGTCGTCTTCTATTTTCTAATAGACGACTACGTGAACACGTGCAAGCGTAAAATAATCTCTCGGATTACTCTCTGTTGATTTTTCCCCTCGGAATTTCTAGTGGTACCATTATTCGAGAGCAAAAATAACCGGCCGAAGAAAGTTCATTTATTTACAAAAGAGGATGAAAGAGAGAGAAAATCTAAATCTCGAGTTGCTCGTGTTCTACGGCATTTATTTCCACTATCACCGCCAAGAGCGATTAATCATTCTCCGTGGCCCGAAAAAGCGACTGAGAACCACCGCATCGCAAATGAGATTTCTGTTTACAATTTCAAATTTTGCAATTTCTGTAGCTCTCTTTTCCCGCTCGCCACGGTATTTTCGATGCATTTATTGATTTTCGCATTAGGAGCCAACTGATCCTCTAAGGCCGTGATTCGATCTCCATAATGTGCCTTTTTAGCGAAAGCCCGTTGGATCCTCATAAATTTTAAATTACTCTTTTACTCCGGCACTTTATCGACTCGCAGCTCTTAATATTTCGACCGGGAAAGTAAATGAATTTCAACACGCTATCTTTTATGAAAAATTTTATTTATTTTAGTGCGCAATTTTGTTATGTTTGTTGTTGATGTTGTTCAAGTTTTTATAGTGAAACAACAATTGTGCGTCAACACTTGTCGAGTAGAAAATTAACAAAGCAACAAAGAAAGCTAAACACATAATGCTTTTTTCATTTATTTTATTGGAACATAGTTCTTGTGTCTTTATAAAAACATGCTCAAAAGATCAAACGAAATATTGAATTAAAAGTGCAACGTTTATTGATGCAATCAATCCAAAAATTCAAATTAGTATAGAAGGTTACAGTTAAGTTTGAACAAATAGTATGTATCATATTATTTATCAAAAGTATTTTACTATTTCACATATTTACTTTTTTTTTATGTCAATGAAGGATTTTCATACCTTTTTATACAGTATGTACATAAACTCATGTAATTATATCACGAAAGAGAGATTAATACGTAATCCGGTAAATTGTTACAAGCTTGTCGTTCTATAACATATGTTACCACGAACGAACATTTCTTACTGAAGGATGAACTGTGCATAAAAAAGTTTTAGAACTAATGGGTTAAATTAAATTATAAATAAAATGCAAGTGAAAATACCTAATCGTCTGATCAAATCCAGTTGTACTACTTGAAGTATATTCTAATAACGTTATCTGAAAAAATTTGCACTTTCTCTTCTCAAAGATAAACTTTAAACATAGCAAATACAATTATTTTATAACTAATTTATGTGGTGCTATTTTTTATGAAATGAAAGTAAAAATATTTCTTTTGTCTGACTAAAATCAAGTCACACCACTTAAAATATATTATATTAATGTCCCCTTTGAAGAACTCATTTTTTTTTATCATTTATTATATAGATCAAATACAAGTATGGTCAATTTTCCAACAAATTTATTAGAATCAATCATAGAGAAGATATAGGTAAAAATTGTTTAATTGCCTGACCAAATTCATTAATACTACTTAAAAATTATTGAAACAATTTTTATAAATCTATCCTGAAAAACACTACAAGTGAAATAAATTTCACGAATAAGTTATTACACAAAGTAGAAGTAAAATGTTTCAATGATTCTCTATCCAAAATTGCGTTGTCCTCACTAAAGTTAATTAAAATAGATCGACTCTTCAAAAAGTTAAAATAATTGTAATTCTTTCATCAAAACCGAGTTACAATTAAAATAAATCTGATGAATTGTATATTACATTTAATTGTGCGTAAAATCCAATAGTAAAGATATTCTGATTGTCTGACCAAAGACCGGTTATACTACTTAAAATCTATTTTAATAATTATTGCATTGTTTTGAAAAGTTGTGATATTTGAGATTTTCTCCAAAATAAACAATTCAACTAATTAGGTGAAAATTCAAGTAGAAATAATTTGATTGTCTGACTAAACTGGGCTTACACTACTTAAAATACATTGATTCATTGTCTTACTTTAAAAATTTAGAAATTTTGTTATCGTTCTCTTAAAGATAAAATACATTTACGATTAATTCTGTAACGAATTTATTAGATTTAATCACACAGAAGATATGAGTAAAAACTTCTTAATTGCCTGACCAAATTCAGTCATACTACTTAAAAAATATTGAAATAATTCGTCTGTCCCGAAAAATTGACATTTTCATGAATCTATCCTAAAAAACACTACAAGTGTAACAAATTTTAAGAATAATTTATTACACAAAATAGAAGGAATAGTTATTTACGTATCAAGTGCGGAAAAGACGATTTCCCGCAAGAGTAGTGATTGACTCACACGAGTAGCCGAAGTTGACGGGAACGAGTACTAGTTGAGTGTGATCGCAAGGTACGAGTTACCGTCACCGGCCACGAGTGCGAGTCTATCTCACGAGTGCAGGAAATCGTCCCGCACGAGTTGCGTACAAGTTTTTTCGCAATGTGTGAAGAAAATAGGTACAAAATAGATTTGAATTTTGATTTCCAGTGTGTAGAAAAATTTTTTCCGGTGTGTGGCAAAACCTTTTCCACACACCTTTTCCGCATACTGTGCGGCAAAAACCTTTGCCGCATACTTTTTCCACACACTGTGCGACAAAAACCTTTGCCACACACCTTTTCCGCACACTGTGCGGAAAAACCTTTGCCGCACACCTTTGTCGCACACTATGTGAGAAAATCGATTTTCCACACTAATACCAGTGCGGAAAACATCAATTTTCCGCACACTATTGCGAAATAGTAGTTTTACTACGAGTTTGAAAAGTCTCTATTTTCGAACCGAGAGGTTTGCGGCCCGAGCCGAAGGCGAGGGACGTAACGAGGTTCGTAAAGGAGACTTTTCGAACGAGTTCCGGAAAACTGCTTTTTCGCCCGAGGAAGTACTAGCCTCCCAAAACCACCCGAGTGCGGAAAAATGTTTTAATGATTCTCTATCCAAAATGGCGTTGTCCTCACTAAAGTTAATTGAAATAGCTCTACTCTTTCATAAAGTTAAAATAATTGTGATTGTTTCATTAAAACTGAGCTACAGTTAAAACAAATATGATGAATTGTATATTAGATTTAATTGTACGTAAACTCCAATGATAAAATTATTTTGACCGTCTGACCAGCACTGGTTATACTACTTAAAATCTACTATAAGAATTATTGTACTGTTTTGAAAAGTTGAAATATATAAGAAATTTTCCAAAATAAATCAACTAATTAATTAAAAATTTAAGTAGAAATAATTTGATTGTCTGACTAAACTGGGCTTACACTACTTAAAATACATTGATTCATTGTCTTACTTTAAAAATTTAGAAATTTTTTTATAGTTCTCTTAAAGATAAAGTACAGTTATGATTAACTCTGCAACGAATTTATTGGATTGAATCATACAGAACATACAAGTAAAAACATTTCCAACGTCTGACCAAAGTCGAGTTATACTACTCAAAGTCTAGCGATCAACTGCATTGTCTCAAAAAGTATTTATTATCGGTTCGAGATTGACGAGCATTAGCTGAATTCTTTATTTACATATTGCTACAACAATTTTTAAAAAAACAATGCTAAGGTTTGTAACACGCGACAAATAAAACGAAAACAAAGAATGCAAGGATGACACCGATGCAATGAATCCCAATAAGTTTGTATCCAACCAAAGCACGCCACTATCAAAGGAGACACGAGCCACATCGCAAGAAAATCTCCACGATACTACCTCTCACGACGATCCCTGCGCGATTCATCGTACAAAAAACAACCCATAGCTTGAAAAGCAACAAAAACCACGAGAGTCTCTGTGACACCCACTTCAGTGACGCGTCATCAAAGGCTTAAAGCTCCGCAAAGATTCGATCCGCGTCCCAAGCACCGCGCCCCACAATCAAAGGACGCCCGCGACTTCCTCCGGAGCGCAGCTTCCGTAATTTCCGCGGCAAAAGAGGCAGCAGCGACTACAGGCATCACACAGCCGCACGTAGCCGCGATATAAAACGCGCCGCGAAAGATCAGCGTCAGGAGCCGCCTTGTACCGCATTATACACCCCCACCTCCGAAGCGATCCTTGTAGGTACACGTGTATAAATCTACGTGCCGCGCAAACCAAGTCGCGACGATCACACACGAGCAGCACACGATGGCTTTCATACCCACCTTTGACTCGAAGAGCGACAAAGACGGAAATCCCGTTGTCACCGATACGACGCCCCGTGAAATGGAGCGCGAAAACGTTTGATACCACTCAGTGCCAAGTTCTTCCGTTTCCACGCGAGGGTATATACTTTTCGGCCTTGTTTACTCGTTCCATCCCCCCTCTTTCGGGGATCAAAGTGGCATGCTGTGAGATACCAGCGCGGATTTTCACCGCAACTGACGAAAGAATATTTCTGTTACAGGACGAGGCGCTACGCTGGGCCCACGCGCTTGAGCTGTTGGACGGTGATCCGAAGATGTTGGAGCGGCTGAACCGCTTTTTCAGTAAGTATGCGATGTTTCGATCGATCCCATCTGTTGTTTCGACTAAACGCGCTCACGGCATTAGCTCGAGTTGAGAGAGAGAGAGAGAGAGATCGGTCGTGGTTTTTAGGGTACTGTAGCGAGTAACGAAATATTTCGCGGTGCCGTCGAAACAAACATTCGAGGCTTTTGATTGCGCGTAACCGCAACGACCGGCTCGCGGAACGTTTGATGCTTTCAAGGAGGAGCAAATTCATTTTCATTCGAAATTTCAAAGGAAGATGCTTCGTTGTTTTTACAAAATCTCCGCCGAGTGCTTGAACCAAAGAGTTTCCAACAGTTATACCGAAGCTCTCTCTCTCTCTCTCTCTCTCTTTCGAGTTCTTTGAGTAACCCGAGCAACTGCTTCACCATGGTATATTACACACATCCGTAGTCTTACTTTTCTTTCGAAATTTAAATATAAAAGAATTCCTTGCGTTCCATTATGTTTGTTATCCCCTGATTTCTTTTTTAACGGTTAAAATAGTTTTGAAAACGAAAAAAATCGTGACGCGTTTCTAGCTAAAAAAGCAAATAAGCTCGATTTTACCCGTTCCACGACAGCGGGCACTACGTTTTAAAGTGCAACTCGAAATATTCCTTAGGGCACCTTACGGATTCTCGTCACTCGACGGAGGCCCAAAAGCGCCTGGCGAAGAGCAGCGGTACACTGGTCCTCGAGCCCACGACGGCATCAGCGACGTCCCCGTCGGTCCAAACATCGTCCAACAGAGCGACAAAGAAGCCAAGCAAGAAGAAGAAAAAAAAGAGGAAGAAGAAGAAGAAGCCGTGGCAGAACAAGCCGGTCATAGCGGTGGAAGCGTCGAGTCCGTCGGCGGTTTTGGCGTTCGCGTCGACTACCGAGACGCCTCGGGTGACTACTTCGCGGTCGGCTGACAAGTGGCACGTCGTGGCTGACCGACTGTTTGGACAATCCTGGCCAAGTGACGACCTCGAGGATCACGAATCGGGCCTTGCCAAGGTAATTTTGCGCTACGTTGTCACTCATACTAACTCATTGGGAAAAAGTCACGACTCGAGTGCGCATTAAAATAATATGAAGCGTGCATCATAAATTACTTTTTTTTATTATGCATAATGGTATGTATTACGCAAAAAGTGAGCGAGACAGGTGTTTTTTTTTTTTTTTTTTTTTTTTTTTCGTGGACATCAACTTTTAGTGGTTTTTCGGCCTGATATCGTGACCCGTGCGTAAAACGGTCGCTTCGCGCACTTGACAGAAAAAACACTATTTTAAGTACTTATTTTGAAATTCATACTCACGCGGAAATCACTTGTTTCACACACTTCACGTCACGTGGCATACTTTTAGAAACAACCAAATCAACGGTTCGTCAATTGTTTGCGCGCATCATCAATTTCACCCGACAAAGCTGGATTGAACAGTTGACGAACCAACTTTGTTATTTCTGAAACGCTTGTTAACGTTGGTGTGACACTGATCGGTATAATAATCTTATTCGGCAGCTGCGTTACTCGGGGTCGTCGAAGCAGCGAATGATAGATTCGATGGGCCGCCCGATGGCCGACAAGGAACGAGAAAATCTCGAGGCTCTTAACGCAGAGAGACAGGCGCTTATGCTCAAAGCCGCTAGAGAGTACTCGGAGCCTCGGGTCCTGCACTTTGGTAAAATTAATACCCACCGGCAGACGTCCGACGAGGATCGCGATGACGGTAAGCATGACTTTTTTATAGTTTACAGTCAAATAAAATATTGATGCTAAATCGGGTTATACCTATTATGACAAAGTTATTAAGTACTAGAAATTTTTGTAGTGATTGAAAAAAAGAAAAATCAGTTTTCGAATGGATGATTAATTTTTTCCTTTCGAATGATGACGGAAATGTTTCGGGTTACTCTGCAGATTATTATGACAAGATGAATCTGCAGTTTTTTTTTTTTTTGTTTTTCCATGAAAATCTTGCAAGTAAAAGTTACTTAAAAACTGCACGAACGCAAAGTAATGTTGATCCAGGTAGAATTGCACCCATTGGTAAAATTTTCTTGAGGAATATTTCCACGATTGTTGAGATTGCTTTGCTACTCGACACGAAAAAAATGTCTCTGTTACAAAAGACGAAAATTACAGTGCCATGCGAGATAAGTAAGAACAACCAACGAAATCATCGGTCTCCGCTTGTATTTATTTGTAGTATTCGATTCAAACGAGCGAGCTTACCAGAACGTCCATTACGGCCATCTGATCTCGTCACCATCGCGAGTTGGCCCATCCCGGGGCCAATCAGAACAGGAGAGGGCACGGCACTTTGGGCCTAACCAGGAATATGTGCCGTCCGGTCTTGAGTTCGACGAGACCAAATCATGGCCAGAAGATGGTCCGAAGTTCGGTTATGGCAGTCCCTGGGCAAGGGTGGACGAGGGAAATGTGCGACCGAGGCCTGCGTGGGATTGGCGGCGATTGGCTGGGTTGCCGATTGCGGCGTCGAAAACCTGGTTACCTTTGAACGTCGAAAGAGACTATTTCGATCAGGCGGAGGAAGAGGACATGGCCAGGGGCTGGCGACAGCTGCAAAACTGGAATGTACAACATTTACGGGTTCGTTCACTTTTTTTCTGATTATTTTTTTTGTACTCCGATGCATGGCAAATCATCGCATGGTTTTCTTTTTTCATCGACATTACAGGATAACCCACCTCCGTGGTTGGAGGAAAAAGAAGTTCGAGGATTGCAACCAAAACCATATTATTGGCCGAAGCCAGAGAGCTCCCGGGAGTATGGAGAGGAAAGTTTGATGAAGGTGGAGAACCATCGCAACAACGATTCCCTGTTGAAGAGCAAGGAGGACGATCCGAAAGAACCACCAAAGCTGACCATGAAGACGTGGAACAGTTTGACCTCGGATCCGGCCACGTGGCCGTTCAAGCTACCTGGAGCCAAGCCTTGGCCAAAGGACGAAAACGGAAAGTCTTACAATCCAAACGCGGATTTGGCACGAAAGTTGGGTCTGTATAACAACGGAAGACCGAGACCGGACAAGGACCCAACGAAGACTTCGAAACAGCAAAAGCTTCGGAAGCTGGACAAACAGGACAAAACCATTGGGACCGAGGATTCCGGGCGACTAGCGTGGAATGAAGGACATCCATCCTGGTACAATAGCATGAAGCTTCGGGAGAATTTCGACGAAGTTGGATCATCCACTGGTGACGGCAGTCCTAATTGGAACATCGAGGAGCGTCCGACGTCGCCTACCAATGAAAAGACATGGCCAAGGGAAAAACCAACCAATGAGTGGAAGGGTGGGACGTCGAGTAACGTTTGGCCAGCCAAATACAAGCAGTTTGTCTATCACAAGGTGACGGGCCAGCCAAGCTCCAAGTCGGGGCTGATCCTTGACAAGCCTAACAAAAATGCCTTCATCGCGGTGTCGGACGTGTCGCGGCCACGGTACAACTGGAGAAAAAATGACGTCGAGGAGGTTGGACTATCGGATTCCGTCGCAGACAATTCAGATCCATTCGCTGGTCAGTTGAAGATGAACGTGTGGAAGAAGAGCAGCGGTGTCAATGAAACGGGCGGTAAAGGTGCAGATGCGCTGGAAAATCAGTTGGAGAACCTCAAGGAAACTGCAGGACCCGTTTTAGTGAGTCTTTCTTGTGAATTCTCGTACATTTCAATAATACCAGACAAATCGGGTGCGCTTCGTGCACTCGTTAAAATCCTATACTTTAACAAGTAGTTTTTTAATTCACAAATAATATGATCCTTTGATCATTTCAATTTTTTCCACTTCGCAGTGCATAAATTAAAAAAAAAAATGAAACAAATTCCTATAAATTACCATTTGTTCATATAGGAATTAATTATTCCTCATATTTAATGACGGAATGAAATCACATTTTTACATTTAATTTTCACAAAGAAAAAAATTATAATAAGTGTTTTATAATCCAAACTATTTAGTTTTGATGAAAATTAAAAATTTATTAATGCTTTATTGAATACTTTTATGTTCTAGCTCGAAGTGAATGTCAGCATTAAAAATTCATCATCTCACAAGATTTCAACATCATCAACACCAATTCCTGCAGTAAACGTAGGAAAGTCAATGCTTCTCGCTCGTCAAGATAAAAATGTTACAGCAAATAAAGATAATGTTAAATAAATTAATGAAAAAAAAATAGCTTAAGATATATATATTTGGAGAAAAAATTGATGGAATAAATTTTAAATGTTAATCACTTACAAATCGGACATAACTGTCTGGAAATTACTGATGAACATTTATGAAGTAAAATATTTTCGAAGTATGCAAATGATCATTGGGTTCTTTCTAATTACGATTCCATTTTTCAAATTCCACTTTTCCACAAACGCACACAAAATCTAACTACCGCACTATAGGTATACAAATTTTGTACAAACAGGAAAAAAACGATTGCGAGAACGAAATAATCAATACTGTACTTGCACGATATTTTTACCAATAACGTACACGTTGTGTATTACTTGTATGGTACAATCGAACCTTTAATTACTTGATATCAATAAAATTTTATATACACAAGTCTGAGACTACTAAACGTTAAACGTTTTACGATACGTAACTATAAAGTCTGATTTGTCAGTTTTAATATAAAAATAAATAAAATTTTTAAAAATGTATGCCATAAAATTAAAATACATCATGATCTTTCGTTACATACAAAAAGTAGATAACTATAGATAATTTTGTTATTTTTAATTATTATTATATTGTATTAAAATTTAATTCTGCTCATCAATTTTTTTTCTAGTATTTCGTGGCATATTTATCATGAAGCTATTCAGTTTTTTTCATAATTATATAACCTTGTATTAAGGAGGTGCAAATCGTACGTTACACTTGAAAGATTTTCTTAAAATGGAGAGAAATAAGTGAGAATTTTAATTAATAATGACTATTAATAAGAAAACTACATGACAAAAAATGTATGGTATAAAATATTGAAAAAATTCTCAAAAATTTTTGACACTTTGAATAGTTATAAGTTCTACTACTTTCTCAGCGTTGTAAGAAAATCATTGGACCTCCTTATTGCGCATAAACACTATCATATTCTCACTTAGAAGTACTCAGAAAAATCATTCAATTTTTATTACGAATCAAAAGATGAAAAAAAAAATAAATAACTTTAAATGTAGTAGCTAAAAAATTTTAATAGTATAACGACTAATAAATATAAGGATCGATTGTATGTTATACAAAAAAATGAAATCATATGCTTAATCCGCTAAGTGTCAAAAAACATAAAAATTTACATTATGAATATTTTATTATTCATTTATAAAAGTATACTTATGCACATGCACTCAGTAATTTAAGCCAATAATCGATTATACACTTTCCACAATAGGCATCTAGAAAATATTCCTCAAAATATTTCAAATAAAAGATTTCTTCTTATATTAGTAGTGGAATTCAACCGAATGGTATTTAATATTTTAAAAATTTTTCCCAAATTTTAAAATGTATAAAATCATCTATAAAAGAACGCTTTCTTAGAAAAGAAATTTACACCATCATTTACAGAAAATTGTGTTACATTGATTCTAAAATTTTAAAGAAAATTAAGAAAAAGGATTGGTTATTTAAACAGAGTTATCATCATCTGTTCTTTACTGTAAATATCGAAAATGAGAATAATAAATGAGTTAACAATAACACTAATGAAAATTCATCTATACCACAACGATAGGCAGTTTTAGATAAACTCAACAATTGTCACTCAAACGCATACAAAAACTTAAGGCTTCAATTTTTTCAGTATTCAAATTTTTCTTTAGACAAAAGGAATTTCAAAAATATTTCAAGTGTAAAGTTTAAATGTTGATAAATAGAAAATGTACGGATGTATTAATGTAAAAATGCATGCAAGTGTTTGTTTAAATACGACATATGGTACTAAGGACGAAAAAAAAATGCAAGCGCAGAATCAATGAGGATCCCAAATGCATTCCAATAAAATCCTAAGAACACAATGTTAGTGTCAACCAAAAGAGTTTTGCTGTTTATTGACGTCCTCAAGGCTCCAAATAAATTAAATATAATACGTTAACATAAAATTTTTTTTAAATTGTCAATCATAAGGCTGCAGAATGAAATTAATATAAAAAAGTTAAATTGGCAAAAAGAAATTTTTAACTTAATCACGTGTGTTACTTAACCATTGTTTAAATTAACTGTAACAGCTTCAGATGGTTTGTTTGATATGACAAGGAATGTTCGTATGTCGGCCTCTTCAATTAATTTCATATTATTATTTTATTAACAAATTTTTGCGAACTACAATATTTATGCTATTTATATGCTGAGCCTAAAAACGACTCATGACGACGAATAAACAGTATTGCGATTATTATTATTGTTATTATTATCGTTATTTTTATCATCACTATGATTGTTGTTGTTGTTCCTATTGTTTTATAATTGTAAAATCAATTGAAAAAGAAAAATGTATTATACGCAAGTCGGAAACCTTTGACAGTCCAATGTTAAACATATTTTTTGTAACGGATAATATTAGTGGGCTTGGAACTGTACCTAATGATAGTAAAACATATATAACAGCGATTTACTTAATATTTGATTCATTTAAGAGACACACTAACACACAGCGATTGTACTTAGCTCAAGTAAATGTAATGGTAATTATTTATTGTTTATCAACTCAGGTTGATTGAAAGTGTACATGTATTATCGATTTCAATTTTATTACTGTAAATAATAAACATGCATAAATAATCATGATTTTATGTTAATTGAAGTTCCATTGATTGCTATCCTGATTCATCAATACTTTTTACAAAATTTCGTAAAAAATTGGCTTTGTAGTGGTACTGAACCTAAGTAGTAATTTTTACGAGCTACACAAATTAATTTCTTTTTTTTATAATTCAGATGTTTATCAAACGTAATCCTAAAACAATCAAAAAACTTTGCAATGACCTATCTACTAATGAATAAACGGTTAAAAAAATCCAAAAAATAATTTTAATTACACGTATTACTTCGATTTTACAGTTTTACTGTTTTAAATTTATTGTACAAATTTACTTCGCGCAGAAGATAATTACATTACGACAACGACGTATTTTTTTCATCAAAAATTGGTTAAATAATTTTTTAAATTAGTTTCACATATGTTTAATAACTTGCCTAATTTTTTTTCATAGATGAATAAAGAATTATCATCGTATCTTGCACACAAAGACACCACTTTGCTTTTCATTAGCCAAGCCTTCGAATTTGTTGGTGGAATTTTATATTTACGCGCGAATTTAATCAGGAACACCAACGTCATAAAAAATCACTAAACTGTAAATCACTAATTACTATATAGTGGTAACGCACCTATGTATCGTTATTGCGTTGCTGGTGTGTGTCAGTGTGTGTTATTGTCGCCGCAGAGAAAAAAAAAGCTGAGATAAATATTTACGAGTTTTAGTTTTGGTGTATTATTATTTTTTCCTTAAAAAGTAAGTCATTGAAAAATTTTAAGAAATTGTTAGTTTTCTAATCATCGCAAACGTCAATAGTGTTAGGAACTTGCACATATCCTACTTTTGATTTTTCAGGTTAAAAGGAATTAATCACAATTGTTTAAAGTAGTTACGTATATTTTCAGGTGTAAACTTTTATTAAAATAGTCAACCTCTGTTCTTAATAAAGTTCTAATCTGCCAAATATCAATCATTAGATTGCGAATAATAATTTCCTTAAATATTTTATTTCCAATAATTCATTCATATTGTCATTTTTTCATTCAACTCAAGAATTTCTCACTAGTAGAATTAATTAATTTTTGTCTTTCATTCACAGAGGTAATCCTTGATTGCTGATATCATTCAACAATAAACAATGGCTCATTACAAAGGGGCAGCCAGTGAAGCTGGCAGAGCTATGCAGCTCATGAAAAAGCGAGAGATCGCCCAACAGGAGATTGAGTTGCGAAAAAAGAAAATAGAGAACGACTTGAAAATCCACAACATAGAAAATAAATTTGCTACCCACTACAATGCAGTTGAACAGCAGCTCAAGACTTCCACCATTGGTCTGGTCACCTTAGATGAAATGAAAGCAAAGCAGGAGAATATCGTAAAAGAGAGAGAAAGAAAACTAGCACAAAAAGAAAAAGAGAAGCAACAGGAGAAAGAACGAGCTCTAGCTGCCAAACAGGCAGAGAAATCAAAACAGAAAAAGCAAATTCAAGCTTTGTCCTTTAACTTGGATGAGGACGAGGAGGAAAACTGTTCAGATGACGATTCGGATGCCAAGTCAGAAAAATCAAATAAATCGAAAACCAGTGAGAATTTAGAACCGGTTGTAAAGAAAATTAAGAAAAATCCAGATGTGGATACAAGCTTTTTGCCTGATAGAGAAAGAGAAGAGGAGGAGAATAAATTAAGAGAAGAGTTGAGGCAAGAGTGGGCACAGAAACAAAATGCACTGAAAGAGGAAGAAATTGAAATTACTTTCAGTTATTGGGATGGATCTGGACACAGGCGAAGTGTTATAATGAAAAAAGGTAAAGATTTAAATGGCAATATTATTGCAGTGATATTGTTTCTTTGTAACCTTATATTTGTCAAGTTTTACATGGGAATAAGACTGTATTCATTGGCATTAGTTCGTACTGTTGGCAGGTAATTCGATTTATCAACTACTTCAGAGATGCTTGGAAGTATTGAGAAAAGAGTTCAGTGAGCTGAAAACTGTAATGGCAGATCAGTTGATGTATGTCAAAGAAGATCTGATATTACCTCATCATTACACATTTTATGATTTCATTGTGACAAAGGTAAAACATTTGTAATGTACAGTTACAAGCTATTGAATAAACAAGTGCTAATATTAATTTCTAGGCAAGAGGAAAAAGTGGACCTCTGTTCTCATTTGATGTTCATGATGATATTCGATTGATGTCAGATGCTTCGGTTGAAACGGAAGAGTCGCATGCAGGAAAAGTACTGCTCAGGTAAGGCATGATCATTAAATATAAAAAATAATTGAAGTTATACGTTTTAACGCTGCTCTTTATTTTAGATCATGGTATGAAAGAAATAAACATATTTTTCCAGCCAGTCGATGGGAACCATATGATCCTACAAAAACTTATGATAAATACACGATTTCAGACAAAAAAAAGAAAGAAAAAAATTAGTAAATTGTGTCATTGTTGTAAATAAAAAGCGAAATCTAATGTTACAGTACCTGTTTACACAATTTTCAGTTTTAATATTAGTTTTAACCGTTGCATATTCTTCGATTCAAGTATAACCTTTTAATAATAACTGAAATGATGGTTTAATTTTTTGAAAATAATCAAGTACAATCATTAATAGGAATGACAATGATTTATTTCCTCAATTTTATACTCTTTTAATAATTAATTTTGAGCCAACATGTGTTCATTTTGCACCAAGTTCGTACTTTTGGACGTTCTGTCAGTATATCTGACGTTTCTAGCAATTTTACTAGTTTTTTGCAAATAATATAGTTAAAATATATTTACTCTTAATCGTTTCCAGTTTTTCGCACGAATCGTTATCTAGAGTTTATTTAATCCATATTAACGTTGGATATAATTTTTTTATAATTAAACTTGACGAATTACCTGATGAATTCGATCACGCATCAACACACAAATCCATAAAACTTTTCGTATTTTGGGCTATGCTGTTCGATTCTATAGGATCTTTTCTCACAACTTCTCTCAGCCTTATTCGATTTTCTCTTTGAATTAACATTGTTTCTTCTTTAATTATCTAAGCATGAACAATGAAGCGTTAAAAATGTTTTTTCATCTTGCGTTTCACAATGTATTCAATAATATACCTCTACGCGACTGTGCAACTCTTGTATCTTGGAGTCAAAAAAATTTACATTCCTTCTCATTTCATCTATGAGACTTTCACTCCTTCTCACGATCAAATCACTCTCCGCGTTTTCGAAATGCTTAAAACTTTTCAAAAAATCCTTATAAATTTCCGTCACCCACTGATCCGTCTCTTCGCATCTTCGTTTATACCCTTGCAGGGCTGAAACTCTACCTCCTAATGATTCATCTGTAAAGTTTAAAAAACTCAACCATAATTTTTCATGACTCCTTTTTGAATCGATAAAAATCCACAAATCTTATCGTTGAAAAAAAAAGCGTAGAAGCTCAAATCAATTAACGAATCCACTGCTCAAGGAGAGGAGATCCCATTGAAGCGGGGAAAAATATCGCTGGCAGGACATAAAGGATCCTGCGCGAGTCCCGAGCTGGAAACAAGAAGCCTAGCACCAGTACCTCTGTTGGCTTTCCACGAGATCTTATCATCACGGTCATCGTCATCGCTCGCTTCCTGGTGGTCTCTCACCGATGACTCGCCCTTCGAACTCGATTCAACACATTCAACCCGAGGACAAGATTCCTCCTGTGTTTTGATGTTTGTTGGCGGATAACGAGGTTTCGAAGAAGACGACTGGTCGTTTTTCTTGTATCTGCAGGTATCCTCGTCGTCGCTGCTACCCTCGGTGCACAGCTCTTCTCCAGATATCCAGGTCTCCTCATCTTCCTGGAAATTGTTGATATCGTTATAAATTTGGCGGTACTGAAGAAAAAAATAATTTTTACCAATCGTCCCCTCGGAAATACAATTCAAGTTAGCTTTACATGAGTTTCGATTTCTTTTGCAAGTCTTTACCTCAGAATATGATAGATTTTGTTAAAACAAATAAAAATCATTGCAACACATTTTTTACAAGGACGGATGATTCAACATCAATTTCGGAGGAGTTTCGAAACGAAACGCTGATCAACGACATGTACCTATTACGTAGAGGTATATCGAAACACTCACCTCTTTCATCAGTTTCGTTATCTGCGGCGGTAAAGCCCTGATGATCGGCACAGGTAACGGGCCTGTGTGGCCCACCTGAGGTTTTTTGATTACCGTTTCTTTTGACATACTTATATCTCGGAAGGGTTACAAGTTCTCTCGTTAAGAAGATGTAAAAGCATTAAGTGCGTGCGTGCAATTCAGCTGGAGATATCCAATAAAAAAAATAATGTATCAGAATGTAAACAATAAAAAACGGCGCGTTCGCATTGAAATCATGACGAGAACTGTTGGGAGCAAGTTACTCTTTTTTTTTTTTTCCTCAAACTGACATCATCGGACTTACAACATGTAACGTCAAGACAGCAGCGAAATTGGTTGCAAAAACGACGGCTGGAGAGTCACGTAATAATTTATTTCACTTTCAAGGACGATTGGACGATCGACACAGCTCGCGGGCAGAAGAATTCATTTGTAGGATATGGGAGATTCCGAATAGGATGACTGTGCACGAGCGAGATGAATATCAGTGTTGTGCTCACCCGTTTGGTCTTTTCTCACGTTTCTTGATTATTTTACTACCGATCTCTCAACCAAGTACACAATAGGTCTGTTTGTACGGTGCACTGAGAGCGGTCTCTGTATTATTTTTTGTACTGTGAAAACTTGTTTATTCTGTATATTTTGGGATTCATTATGGAATTCGATGAATAAAGCATTATCTCGAGCTTTATCTATTGGCTGCAATGATTAAATGTGCTTGGAACAATTAAAACATCAGAAAATTTTTTTCGTGAGCATTTTTATGCACAGAAAACAAATGACTTTCACCGCATACCATTGTTTTTTATGTATACAACTTTATTATGTACATACAATAAAACTTACAAAAAAGTATTTACATCTATACAACACTTGCTGTGTACTCACAGTTAGCTCCTCAGGGAACTTGGATTCATGTATTGAATGTTTGTAGGAAAATGATCCATAATAATGAATTTTGTCTCACTTGCTTGAACGATACTATCTACATAACCAAACCAATAAATTACTAATCCTGGACCAAACCGATTCCAATAACTGGAAAACTGTTCTTTTATGTAAGTTTGATGATTTTTAGGGCTTCCAAACTGGCCTTTTGATTCAATCCAATTTACAACGAAACCATTTACGGCTATCGGAATTTCTAATTTGAAATCAGGTGTTTTATCGTACCCTTTAGAACGAAGATGATTTTCATTGTAAAATGGTATGTTGTGTTCCTTTAAATGAATTTCCAGTTTCATTTCATACTCCTCTCCAACGGACCTATTTTTATGATATAATAAGTTAAAATGATTGTTTAGTGTATAAATACGATATATTTCATTGAACTTACTCATCGATTGCACTACTGATTGGACCATATTGATCATCATACAAGATACACTAAAAACATTCAATGTGCAATAATTCTTACTCTCAAAACTAAATAATCAAGGGATATAAGAACTTTTCGATAACCTTATGTTTGTCTTACCATGTAAATATCATAAGCCAGATCTTTGTCTTCTATTAATGTGGTATCTCTCATCATCTTGCTAATATCTTGTTTGGTTACTAGAAATCAATACACATCTTCATTTAGTTGATAAATTTGAAGTTTTGATAGATAAAATGCCAATATTTGATTGAAATGAAAAGAATTGTATACTTATTGTAAGTCATGCAAAAAAACCAAAACAAATTACACTTACTTTTACTGTCTTTCAGATTGCAATACTCCTCCAATACTTTTCGAGCCAACAGTGAAGGACACACATCATGCTTAATTGCTGTTTTTAGCAGAATTGAAGATTTATTAGAGGACTGTTCTTGCTTCTTTGCAGCTTCTAAATAACTAAGGAAAAAAAAAAATTATTTAAAATTAATATTGCATTTGTTACTTGGCTATATTTAAAAAATTTTAAACTCACTTTCCATAAAAATTAGTGCCTTTACCAAACACTTTCCAATGCAACATTGTCATCTTTTTTTTAATCTCTTGCGACAATATGCCGTACAATGTCGTTGGGGGAAAACTGAAAAAACAACACTCATTTTTTACTTGTTTAATGTATTTTACAAATTCATCAAAAATTTACGAAAGTAAATAATTCATGAATGATGAAGAAACCTGTGAGAAACGTTTGAAAAACTTGAGAATTGAGTAAACTTTACCTTTTGTATTTTGCAAGCAACATGTTGGCACATTCTCTTGATAGACCCCGATAATTTTGTATCGTCTTGACAATTTTTTTGTACTCTTCGTCCTTCATGTTGTTATTGTTCAAGTGCGTCAAACATGTAAACAAACAATCGACTCTAACCTCAAACTGTAGATAATCTCTTTTTACCAAAAACAATAGAAATCCATATCACTGTAAGATTTTTTTATCATTCATTATATTTTGCTATTAATTATTCTAAAAAACCAAATTATAACGTGTAAACAAGAAAAAAATTACTCAAGGTTATGCTTGCAGGGAAAATTACACAATCCGGAATCCGGTTAGCGCCAGATATTCAGGCATTCAGCTGGTTTGTTTATTTGGTCCGGGTGTGTGTGACCTGGTACGTAGGTACGTATATACGTAATCTAAGAGTAAGTATACCTACGTTATAATAACGGACACTGACGTACAGTCGTACAATGGAGGGTGGAGGCCGTTTAATTCGTTGAGCGGGAAGTATAAAATTGACCAATGAAAGAGGTTATGTGATCGAATCAGCCAATGAGAATTAAATGTTTGAATTTCCCGCTCAACAAATTAAACGGCCTCCACTGTACTTGTCATCTCTGGTACTTATTGTCAATTGTCATCGTGTATCATCAAAATATGACTTATTATGATTTACTTATAAGGCTGCATGACAGCAGTTAAGTTACGTAGGTCGTAATAACACCGCATTGTCGGGCAGCGCTAGCGTCAACCTGTAGTATAAAAAATAAAAGATGTAAAAGTTTACCTGTAAAATTTACTATTTACAGTGTAAATTGTAATATAAAAGTATAAACATACTCATAAGAGATCGATTTTCGGGTAAATGATAAGTTGTAAGCTTGCCGCAAACAGCACAAAAAATGTTAACTCTTTATCTTCTATCTGTAAGATTAGTTGTGGCTGGTTTATAATTAATTATATGGCTCTACTGTAAGTTGTAATAATTATTTGGATCAGCGCCATCTAGCGTTGCGGATTCTGAACTAAAAAGTGGCCCTAAAACCTAAAATTCTGAAGGAGAGCTTCAGGCAGTTTAGGTCTTAGAGCCAATTAATCAATTATAAACCAGCCGCAACTAATATTACAGATATATAATAAAAAGTAAATGTTGTTTACACTATTGACGGCAAGTTTACAATTTGATTTTATTTGAAAGTATAAATATGTAGGAGATCGATATTTGGGTAGAAAATAAATTGCAAATTTGCCGCAAATAGCACAAACATCGTACACTTTTTATTTTTTATCTATAGCATTAGTTGCGGCTGGTTTATAATTAACTAAATGGCTCTAGGGCCTAAACTGCCAAAAGCTCTCCTACAGAATTTTAGGAGCCACTTTTTGCGAAAAAATTAAGACCACTAGACAGCGCTGATCCAAATAATTATTCTATACTTATAGTAGAGCCATGTAATTAATTATAAACCGGCCGCAACTAATGTTATGGGTATTAAATAAAAATTTGGACATGTTTGTTCTATTTTCGGCAACCGTTCAATTTATCTTCTACCCGAAAATCGACCTTCAAGAGTATAAATATTCTACTATCTTATAGGTATTGCGTATTTCGAAGCATGCAAATAGACCCATTAGACTTAGACCCTTCAAGTCTACGATTTTTTACTTAATGCAGTATATATATATATATATATATATATAGTGATTTACTTGCATAAATCCCTAGAATCTAGGGATGTTTTCAAGACAGTTCCCCTAGAAAATAGTTCGTGTCAGTCAGTTCGCGTTCGCGAAATCCACAACACTAGATGGCGCTAGTACACTAGATTTGTTTTTCAAATTTCAAGGCCGCCTAAAAAGTTTAGCAAACGAATTAAATCGTGGAAAACCAAAACAATATTTTTTTTTTATAACAAAATATAAGTTTTACTGTACATTGTTAAATATCACTTAAACTCTAGTATCTTACCTTTATCTCAGAGTAATTTAGCATAAAAAAAGTTGTCGTTTCACGAACCAATAAAGCAAACTTTGTATTATTTCGTTGAAATAATTTTTCGATGAAAATTCTTGTAACACTCCTTTTGACTCTTATCATGTAAAGTAAAACATGATTTCAGTCATGAACGTGATTTCATAAAGACCATGGTTTTCATAAATAATACTTACTGTAAACAAAAATTGTATTCTGATCTTTAAAAAATGTTTCATTTCATTCAATAATATATTATTAACAATAAACTTTTTATTGATTCTTATGGTAAATTTAAATTAAGCTGTTGGTTTAATAAGTACAACTTGTAATTTTCAGTAAAAAAATTATTCAATATTTATTGTACAGTACTTATACCTCTATTTTATAATTTAGTTTAAGCGGTACTTCCGTGTTTTAACACATTAACCACCATATCATCAAAGTTACTTGAATTAAAATTTGAATCTTACAGATGGCTTACAGATTTAAAAAAACTAAAACATTCAAACAATTGGATTTACATTGTTCACATCATATGTAATCATATTAATTTTATAAATGCACACATCCGTGCATTTATAAAATTCCCTGCTATTTAAAAAATTTACATCCAAGCGCAATTATTTACAACGGCATTGTTGCAAGGTCTTATGATCATTACTTACAATTTTATTAATTCATAATAGTTGTTTTTTTTTTCCTAAAAAAACATATGTATTTTGTACGAAATTCTCAGGAACATCGTTAAATATTCAAGTTTTTCTTTTCTATATTTATACCTTTCTACCTCAACTTTTGAAACATTTTCTGTCAAAACAACCAAAGACACATTAACTACGTACACTCGAACAAGACTCTTTTTTACAACTACTTTTGAGAGAGGAAATTAACTCTCTTACCACTAAACACCGTCCAAGCAGAGCAACGACTTCTCAGCTGCTTATGTTACATTAATTTTTTTTCTTTCAGTGTAGTACAAAGGCAGATTCGAGCTTGGGGTGAAGAATTCATTTTGCATTGATTTAATGCACACTGTCAAATCACTTGAGGTAATTACAATGCAATTTTTTTTTTTTTTTCTCAGCTCAACCACGAGCTAATAGTCAGTTACAGGCGTCACCGACACACCACGACCAACGACACTGACGAGGACGACGAACGACGTTAATTAGGAAGCCCATGCGGAATCAAGGTCGCGGGACATAGTCAGCAGACAGTAAAGAGCGCAACAGCGGTGCTCAGAGTCGCGGATCGCCGGCAACGTGGGCTCAGTCGGCCTGAGACGAGGGAGAGACGCGGTCACGTTTGGAGGCCTTGTTCTTGCCCTTGGACTTGCTCTCGCGCTTGCGGCCGACGAGAGAGGACGAAGTCGAGGTAGTCGAGGCCGAGTCCGCGGGGCTGGAGCCTTCCCGATCGCGCTCCCACCTGGCCAGGCTCTCGCGCAAATTCTGGCCGTCAGACTCCTCGTAGGTATCTATGTCGATGTGCACACCGTCCTGCTGGACCACGCTCGCCTCGAGGCTGGCTCGCATCTCGCGACGTTGCTCGTCCGAGTGCTGTGGACACCGCATGGAGCGCGTACACAGTTTCTTCGTGTGCCCCGACACGACACCGCAGATCTGCTGCAGTAGGACGCGTTTCTCCTCCAAGGTCATGTTCTCGTAGTTGCTGGGCGAGCTGCTCTCGCTGCTGGTCTGGCCGAACTCTGGCTGACCGCCGCTCGCCGAGTCCGAGCCGTTCTTTTGGTTACCAGAGCCGGAAGCAGTGCCTAGAGCTCCGAGCTGCTGTTGCTGACCCAGGATGCCGATCTTGGGCTGCTTCAGCTTACGGAGCCCGTTGCGGTCCTTACGTCGCTTGCGCTTGTCGTTATTCATGCTCCAATCGACGTCGTCGTCATCGTCGCTAATGGCGCCGGTGTAGGTGGTCAGATCCTTGGAGTTGTTTGCAATGCGGCGTGACGCTATTCGCGAACTGTTGCGTCCCATGCCCATGCATTTTTCCAGGTGCGTTGCGAATCGGCTGGCCGCGACGCCGCGCTCGCAGTTTGGGCAGCTGCACTCCTGGGACTTTTTGATTGGGTGCTGGCCAAACACATCCAGGCCCGGCGAGTCTGTGGAGATGATTTTTAGTTTTTTTTTTTCTTTTTTTTTTTTATGTAAAAGACAAACTTATCTTTGAATGGACGTTTTGTCAGGGTGCACTTTACTATACTGTTTACATTTAAAAAAATAAACATTATTGTTGCTAAACATCTTTTTTATTCATTCAACGTGTCTCATTGTTCACAGTTGTTTGTGTCAAACACCTGTAAACAATCTTAAAAAGTTCACAAAACGAACTGAGTGTTTGGTAGGCACAAGATGATTGTCAACATTTCAATAATTTTGCCAAACTCAAAGCGGAATCTGTACCAAAGTCGAAGGTGTACAAATCAAATTATATAATAAACTCAACCAGAGTACGATGACGCATCCCAATTTTGAATAGTAAAAAACAAATGTTCATGATGAACTGCAAACTTACCCACAATGGCATAGGACTCGTTGTCTGGTATTCCCTCCTCGACGTCAGAACTGCCAGTCTTCGTCACTCGATGAACGTCAAAAACGAACCCTATGAGCACCTCGTCCAGAAGGTCCTCGTAGATCTCTTTGGTGGCCAACTCGACGTTTTCGGACTTTGACATGAACTCGAGAAAAAGCCGGTTGAGCTCATCTATCTTATCACCTGCCACCGACATCCTCGCGTCTTTCTTTCCTTCACCCCTGCTCCGGTCGGTCAGTAAACACCACTACAGCCCCACTTCGACTGATGACACTAATTTGGAGTCCTAATCTATTTGTTGATACTTCAAGGCCAAACATTCGTTTCACTTGTACTATCAAAACTATGTAGAGCTCGAGATTACGACTCCTATTTTACTCTGCTCCCGTATACGCTTTTTCTCGATACACCCCAGGATAGTAGGTTTCTGATGGCCTTGGATACCCGGTGCACAGAGATAACTTTAGCAGAAAAAACTCTTTGATTGCAAAGTATATTATTGTAACAACTATATATAAACAGTACAACTATAACCTTCACTAACACACCTATACACATTTATGGTGTGCGGGAGAAGGAAGGGACCTTGGTTCACTACTTCACTGCACAGCTGACTCAGGCAAGCTGTCAAATAAAATGGTATATATAGATATATTTAACTGTGGGCTTGAGCTAAAATTTTTAACTAATTTAAAAAAACAATTCCTGAACCAAATTGTAATTAAATTTAACGAATATTTGCTCGTACGAGTTTCTTTTCAAATAAAGAATTCTTCTACTCCTTTCAGGGTACAAAAAATTGGAGTTGATATGATTTAGTTGATTCACTTTTATTGACAATAATTACTATGAAAAAAGATCGTAAAGTACAGCGAACAGTGATTTTTTAATTTTTTTAACCAATGAACCAGTACATTGCGAAACAAAGTTAATAATAAAAATAAAAAATAGAGTCTGTCACTCTCTTATCGTTAATACGCACACCTCAAGTAGAAAATCATGCGTTATATTCCACGTCAAAAGTAAAATTTTAGTATTGTTTTTATTTACAAAAATTAAAACATTTTTGTTGCACAATAGTGAGAGACGTAGATGATTATGATTCTAATTTTTTTTTTCCTCTTCAAAAATTCAAAAAAAATGTTAGGTCATAGTTAGTCAGGTAAAACTAGGTCGAATACCGCCACCGCAACAACAACGTGCTCTTCTGCTCAGAAGAAGCTCTCTTTCGGCGTTCGACTCACAGACGACATGGTGAGTGATTGTTCTTTTTTTAGTGGAATCAATCCAAAAATGTTGAAAACATCGCTCTCAATAGATCTACAGCTATCTAAAGGGCTCGTTAGGCGTGATTACGTGTTTTACGCGATATAATTATTTTTCGGCGATGTGTGATAGTCGTAATTATTGCGAAGTTTATCTGTGCCTCTCCTCCGGGGGAGGTTAAGTCGTCGCCTATGGCTAACGCGTTCGTGTGTGTTTACTTTATGCCAAAAAAATTTGGCAAATCTAATTAGCAATTAAGCCTATCCAAGTAGTTGTTAAAATGTATAATTGCAGTGAATAGAGAAATAATGTGTCGTTGTTTTGTTGCAGTCGCTCGTTATTCCAGAGAAGTTTCAGCACATTCTTCGTGTCATGGGCACGAACATCGATGGTAACAGGAAGGTCATGTTCGCCATGACTGCCATCAAGGGTGTGGGTCGGCGCTACGCCAATATCGTTCTCAAGAAGGCCGACATCGACCTTGACAAACGAGCTGGTGAATGCTCCGAAGAGGAGGTAAGTTTTGCTCTCCAGTTACTTCGAAAACCTAACCTCTTGTAACTTGCATGTTCTCAAAAATGTGTATTGTTTACAGGTTGAAAAGATCGTCACTATTATGGCGAATCCCAGGCAGTACAAAATTCCTGACTGGTTCCTCAACAGGCAAAAGGACATTGTTGACGGAAAATACTCACAAGTAAGTCGTCTGATTATCATGCATCGACAGTTCACGATTATTTTCCAAGTACATTAAAAAACCACTAAATATTTATTTGTTTACGTTGCCAATGTCTCTTTTGGTCACAAACTGCGGTTTTTTTGACAATATATTAGATGTAGCCATCTGACTTGTCATACTTTTATCAACTTGAATGATATCTGATGATGCACAATCACACGGTTAATAATGTTGATTGATATATTATTTGACTGGTACATTGTGCAATAGTAACTGCACTTTTTAAGATCTGGAATTTTACATAAATTCTGGATCTTGAATTTCATAAACATGCAACATTCAACAAATTAGAAGAATATCACATATTCTTAAAGTTGAGCGGTATTTCTTTATTGAATAATCAAATTTAACTTTCAGCTCACGAGTTCCAACTTGGACTCAAAGCTTCGTGAGGATCTTGAACGTATGAAGAAGATACGTGCACACAGAGGTCTGCGTCACTACTGGGGCCTTCGTGTGCGTGGACAGCACACAAAGACGACTGGTCGTAGGGGTCGTACTGTGGGTGTGTCCAAAAAGAAGTAATTTAATCTGTTTAATGATAATAAAAATTTTATAAATCTAATTTATTAAGCTAAATTGTTTACTCATTTTATTGATACACCAATTCTTCACTTTCATAGTATTATTTTGAAAATAATCATAAAAAATTAACCACAATGAACTTTCTAAATTACAATTTATATTAATTTTTTTAATATGTACAGCTCAATTAAATAATAAAAATCAGAACTCATCCAGGTATTAATTTTAACATTGTCGAAAATTGCAACTATCCAAAAAATAAGATTCCCTAAATACAAAGTAACGAAATGATTACATGATAACTTATAAAATAAAACAACCATTACGAGTCTAAAAGCTATCTAGTTTAATTTTTTGTTCTTTTGATTGGTATAAACATGAGCAGTCTTAAGCCAAGTACAAATTGGTCATATCCTTCTCGGTTAAGTAACCCATGATCTCATGAAAAATCAAATGGTACGAGTACTGATTCACCCCCATAATACAGCTCAAGCTCTGCATGGCTCCCGATACGAGGCACTGCCTATGTTTTTCCCGAGCGAACCGCTTGACCAGCTCTTTCCCGTAAATGGGAAACATCTCGCAAATCGCATAGGTCGAATCACTGAAAAACTTGACGATCCCCTTGTCCTGCACGAATCGCGCGATGCTCGAGTTCGCCAGCACCTTGAAAAACACTTCTCCGGTGTCTTCTATCGGGGTGTCCTTCAAAAGCTGCAGTTCGTTGACGCATTGCTCGTAGTAGCTCCGATGTAAGGGAGCCAACGTTGGAACCTGTCCCAGAACTACGTTGCTGATGGCTACGCGGGCGAGTAGCAACTTCGAGATGTCCGAGGATTTTTCATCGCTCACCACGACTTTTATGATCAGATCCTCCAGGTCGAAAGTAGCTCCGCGTTCGAGCAAGCAACGTATGATGTTGAAATCGTAACGCATGTTGAGAGCGATGTACATGGGACTCTTGCTTCGATCGGCTCGGTTGACCCTGGCGCCGTGCTGGAACAGTAGCTCCATGCAACTCATGACTCGTCTCATCTGTAATTATTGTTCATACATTACTGAAGAGGGATGCATATGACATGTCTTAATTTTGATCGATTCAACTCTTGGGTTTATCCAGAACTTTTTTTTCAGATTATACAACACTCTTTACAAAAGACATTTTTTTCAAGTTCTATTTTATACTCGGAAAAATTGTGTCTTTTGGAAAAATCGGTAGTAAGAAAAGTGTCCATCTCCCTACCTTTTTTTGTTGGGAATATTATATATGTAGGTAAGTAACAGTATACCCTAACAGATCTCGAGTTGTTTAAATTTATACTTATAAATATGGTAATTTTGCATTTAACAATTCTGAAAAGGTATTAAAATGAATAAATCGGTAAGAGAATAGGATTTCTGTATCAACTTTTGAACTACTACATCCAAATTTTGTTGCTGCAGATTATACGTTCAAGAGTAATCACACTATAAATAATAGTGTCCAGATTTAAGACTAACAATATTTAACTTTCTAATAAATAGTCATCATCAGTTATCATTACTTTTTTGTTTATGAAAATTGAACTAAAAATTATGATTATGTTGCGTCATTGACAATAATTTTTCCAAACAATCAATGATACTTTACAGAATTTTATATGAATTGCAAACAAATCATTGAGTACCATCATCAGTTATAATTCGCAACAGTTGATCACTTATACTTTTTAAGATTTTATTCATGACGAAAATAAAAACTCATAACAACAGTTGTCGAATTTGATCCAATCGAATAAACTCACCGTCAAGACAACGGTAAAAAAGTTGCCGTCGGGGTTCCCCGCTTTGCTCAATCCATAACAGAGAGGATCGAGTCCATCGCAATCGATGACGTCGACTAATGCACCCTCGCCCAATAGCAGCTTCAGCAGATCCTCGTTGAACTCCTCGACCGCGTAATGCAAAGCGCTCCTGTGGTCCCTGTCGAGCCGGTTGACGTCGCAGCCGGCCACCAGGAGACCCCTTATCACCTCGACGCCGGCGTGATTGACCACAGCTTGATGCAACGCCGTTTGGCCCGAATTCGAGGTGGCGTTGACGTTTGCACCCCTGTCCAGCAGCAATTTCACCTCGTTGAGCTTCCGGGCGTACAACAATGGGGTCCATCCTTCGTTGTTCGCCGCGTTCACGTTCGCACCGGCGTTTATCAGCGCCTCCAAGACCCTGGTGTTGTCTGCGAGGGCACACGTGGACATTTTTTTTAAGTCTTATTTGCTTGGACGACAACGATATAAGTAGTTCAGGGAGGGTAGTTTATATATGAAACTCTTTTCAAGGAGCTGCTTTGTAGTGAGCGTACGGTGTTGGGGAATCATAACTTTACCGGCAATACGTGGTTTTATTTTTCGGTTTCGAGAGAGAGTCAAAAAATATAAAAAGTTTTACTTATTCAAACTCGTTACTTTCGAGTTCCGTTATTTCAAGCGTTGACACTTATTTATGTACGAAGTACATTTTTCACAATCTTAATTTCTTTTTAATACCGTTGTATGGGCCACGTGGTAAGTACAATGGGTTTTGGAAAATGTTGAGACTTGGTTGTCTCCGTACGGCTGTTTCGGGGATGGTTTTTCCGTGGAGTTTTCCTTTCGAGTGATTCCAGGGGTTTTTCCTCGCCCCACGGGTCTTGTAATCATCTTCAAATCAATTTAAAGATAATTTAAAGAGTTTTGCAATAAATTATAGTAAAACATTGTTTAAAATATACATAGATAGTACATGTTAGAGAAATATTATACTTCCAACAAATAATATTTCAAACTTTGTAACCATGTTTCGAACATAGTTTTAAAATTAAATCCAAACGAAGAGTCATAAAAACCAAATGACACGTTTGACATTTTTCAAATTCTTACATAAAAGAAAGGTTGATACAATAATAACATCACTTCCAGCCGATTTCTCCCATTAATTTAGTCACATTAGATATATATCAGCTTTCTATACCCTACCGATATTTAACTAATTACTTTTACTTACAGTAATTTAATCATTTTTTTTTCTGTCCATTTTTACACGAACAAAAGGGTTGGCACACATCTTTTTTACATCATAGAACAATTCAAAATTAATTTTAGTACAATCCATTGTAATCCGAGGAAAAGATACAAAAAATCACTTTGTGCATCGTTCGTTTGACATCTAATTTTACGTATTTCTCATCCAATTTTCAATAAATCTCACCGAGTCTGGGCTTGAATTATTCTTAGAAATGTCAAGAATGTGCATCAACTCCTTTTTTTTTTTTTCTCCTTTTATAAGATGTCATGACCCACTCACCATTAACAACGGGCAAGCACGCCGTGGCCGAGTGCAAGACGGTATTTCCCGAACAGTCGACCTGATTGACGTCCAAGTCCCTCTGCGATAGCAATAACTCCAGTACGTCGAGACTCCCGTGATACGCGGCGATGTGCAAGGGGCTCTCGTTCGAGTCAAAGAACGCGTTGTCCACCGTAGCCCCCGCGTCTAGTAGTGCTTTCGCGACCCACTTGTCGTTCTCCCAAATCGCGTACTGCAGTGGTGGATTGTTGAAATGATTTCTACCGTTGACGTCACAGCCGGCCGCTATAAGGTAACCGGCAACGAAGCCGATCCTCTCGCTGTTACCCCTCCTCGAGATCATGTGCAGTAAACTGTCCCCAAAATGGTTGTGCACCTCTAACAGTCTTGGAAAATGGTCCAGTTGGCTCCTTATTTCACTCTCTTCATAACTCCGCAGACGGAGAATCAGCTCTTCCAGCCACTGTATATGTGGGTGAGAGGGTTACAAGGTTATTGGGTTACTTTTATATTAGACTTCAAAATTTACAATTGATTTCTACAGGATAATAAATATTTACAAATCCTAGAATAGGGTACTGTATTTTTTCTTTTTTGATTATTTATTTTCTCTGGCAACCATTAAGTAATTCATGTAAACTGGGGGGGGGGGGTAACGAAACAAGATCAAGAGTTTTGCGTCTTCATGTTAAAAAAAAGATTAGTTTCTTCTAATAATTTTAGTAAAATATAATTGCATGCAATTTGTCGTTATTGTCTTGCTATATCACAAATTATCAACATGATTCAACATTTTATTAATTATGAACAACATTTGTCATACCCTCTTATTCAATCGTATATGGCTATACTTAAAACACTGTGCAAAAATAGGGTCTGCATGATAAATAATGGGTTTTCAACCCTTTACAATGTTTCATCCACTAGAGTTTGTTTACAATATCGTTATAGTATAAATAAAGAAATATTTTATGCAATGAAACCAAGATTTCTTAATTCGGACTTTAAAGTCCGAAAAAAGTACCAACTTACACTTACCTTACAAATTACCATCGTTCGAGGATTAATTACTTGGATGACTGCACTTGAAAATCAAAAAAATATACACCGATGAACGCACAAGCAAACTGCAATGTTGTATCACTGCTTCCTTAGCCAATCGCTCAAGTAATAGTTATTCTCACCCTCCAAACCCTATTTGTATATATACATAAGTAAGATATAGAATTACTTGGCACATCGTCACTCATGTATAGGTATACTCATGAGCTTGTTTGCTTACAAACTTCCTGTAATTCTCGGTGATTCGTGTTGCTGATTCAGGACTTTCTCTTGGTAATCATAGCTTTCGTGTGATTAGTGATAGGTAATCGTAAACGTCAGAAATGAAAGTTGGCTTTGTTTGGTCACCTACTCGTTGAATTTTTCATTTTCCTGAATTTGAGAGTCTCGTTCGGGTGCAGAGTGCTGCTCACATGAACTATAGATACTTAGCCAATGCACTTCAATAGTTCAATAGTTTGCAATCCTCAAGGGAGATATGCTAATTGGGATACTTGGTATTGATAGGCTTAAAATCGATATCACGACTAGTGGGCCACTTTTAGTCGAACCTTTAGTGCACGCAAATGTGACAAAATTAAGGATTTGTAAAGATGTGAAAAAAGGAAAAACGCTAAACAGTCACTTCAACTTTTTTACCGTAATTTGTTTATAACAATTAAATAAACGCTGTTTAATTGTTTATTTAATTTAAATATCAACAAAACAATTATATTATATTGATACGTAAATTAATATAATTACCATTTTCCACATGGTTAACAGATAGTCACGTGTTTTGAGTACACATCAATAACTTTTTTCTACCAAACGCAAAAGTTAAATATTGAATTATAATGGTACAAAAAGACGACTACCTATTTTTAATATTATGAAGGTTTTGGTAATATCATTTTTTGTTGATACAAAAAAAATTATTTAAAAGGCGTATATTCACCTTATCTGTTATGAATTTAAAACGCCTCTTTTAAAAGTTAGATATGAAAAGCGCTATTAATTAGGTGGTCCAAAGTTTTCTTAAAATCTATACTTCAGTTGTCTGTTTAAAAATTTTTCAATATTTTTGTTACACTTTTCTAATAGGATCGATGGGGTGCCAAGTTTTTTCGTCATAAGTTACTATTTCCAAAGAACTAATTCATTATTACTTTCGAGTTCCGTTATTTCAAGCGTTGACACTTATTTATGTACGAAGTACATTTTTCACAATCTTAATTTCTTTTTAATACCGTTGTATGGGCCACGTGGTAAGTACAATGGGTTTTGGAAAATGTTGAGACTTGGTTGTCTCCGTACGGCTGTTTNTATATATATATACCCCATAAATCTTAATGAGATAAAATACCAAAATTTAACGTTAGTACCTTGTCCCAGAAGAAAAAAAATTAATTTCAAGCATCATCCATATCATTACATTTAAGCCGTAATTTCTGAATGACGCATTAACAAAAAACCAGTATGGCTAAAAAATTAAACAAACATCTGGAAGAATTGTGGGTTAAAATAATACAACCATCATGTAAATATCTTAAAATATATTCCAGTTACCGTAAAAAAATGTATTAATCGAATTACTTGAAATTCATATTGAAATTGATATCTACTGAAAATGTGTAATTTAAATGAATACCGAAGAACACAGTTTTCCCCTTTCTATGTATACATAAATATTAGAGACAACCATCAATTACGAAAACTTAAAATCACTTGAGTTCATTTAAATCCTTCAACATATTGACGGACATACATGTAATTACTTTTTTGTGGATGTATCTTTAAATTACACATGTAAGTACGTCAATGTTGAATATTTGATACTACAATTACAATTTCATGTAGGTATACATAATGATAAGTAGTGATTAAGGTCATAAAAGATGATTTTATAGACGCTACGGTATTGTTATAGCCATGGAAATCAGTTTGTAACAGATGAGCCAAGTCATACAATTCGAATAAAAATTACTTCAAAAGCTTTGTCAAGTTTTACATGAGATCTTTTCAATGAAGTACCAGCTTCTACATCATGCATTTGTTCATGCATTTGTTTAAATGTTTGTGCGTGCAATCGTCCATACACATACGGGATCCCCCGGTCAGGGTGCAATCACAGGTAACCACCTCTGGCTCGCTATTCTCCTTGTTCATGCGCACCGGTTCAAGTACTCGACTTTCTTATCTTGAGTACCATTGATAGGCACTTTGTCTAGTTTTCCACCTGTTGGATTGTCCCTTTGTATGTGGGCAAAGTAAAAGCAATGCTGGGTATCCGTTTCTAAGTAATTGATCTCACAGTCAGAGAAATCCTTGCGCACATTCTGCAACACAAGAATGGTCGGATCGACGTTTGTGGTAACGTTACCACTCGTATCCACCACCTGGACCTTGACATGAGAAATGTCACAGTTGACGATATTTGACCAAGTCGCGCAGTCCAAGTACACGATAATGATGCCACCACGACAATGGTGATTTTTACATCTGACTCGCGGGTTCCGGCAAATCCTCCCCATTCGAGGACAGCAGTATTTTTTACCAGCTTCCTATGAAGAGTTATGTAACTATTTCCTACATAACTATGGACATGTGAAAACTCTACAATGCACGTCTTGTTGGTATTGTCTTATCTTACTAATATTTAAAGCAGAAGCGCTAAAACCGTTGTAATCGCTAACCGCGAAAACTACTGAACCGATTTTGTTGAAATTTTGTACACTGATTCATGATACTTCCTAGATAGTTTTAGTATAGTTTTTATCTTAAAAAATTTAATAACAATAGCAATAAATGAGCTCAAAGTTTTGCAAAAATACGCCAGCTTTTCACTTTAGTTCAGTAAAATCCGCTAGGTGGCGTCGACATAAAATCGAAGCTACCTGCAACATAATTAAATAAGTGTGGTTATAATACGCTGGAGCGTCTCCGTACTGTTGTAGTCGAGCTTCGGCATTTCAACGAGCTGTATAGAGAATGCTGATGATAGTCTTGCAGCTGGGTATCCCGGTTACGGACTACACTCTTCTCTAAGGGGGAAGGGACCTAGGTGTCCATTCACCCTGATTCTCGACGAGTGCGATCAAATAAAAAAAATAATTCCAACCGATGCCGTCTCTGCCTCAATACCCGGAGACATATCTAGCCAGAGCACAATCTGCACCAACTCTTCATAGCAGTCCCACCATCCCACCTGGTGCAGTTAGAGAATTTGTGGCTACAAATGTAAGCAAGGGACAACAGCTCTGAGGGGCACGGGCAGCCACAACGGCTACCTTCTTGGTCGTCGCGTCCCCAACGCGCTTACCCACATGTTCCCGTCTAACGATGAGCGGTTGGTTATCCGGGGAACGACCCGAGACGAGATATTCTTTGGTCAGCAGCGTACCTTCCTCCATCACAGTCTCCGTACATCGAGACTCCCAGGGTAAGAATCAAGCAACCGTAGCCAGCTCTTCATCATCAGGAATAAGAATAGCCTGGAAGTTTCACCACTGGCGCTTTTTAGCGCCATTATAAGTATTTACGTTCCCTACTTAACCATCAATTTCATCGGTTCTTTTTAGGATCCACCTAAGTGTAAACTACCTTGCCAACAAATACATTTTTATTACCATTTCCGGAAGCGATTCGTCGACTAAAAGACTATATTAACTAAAGACGGGCACTATTAAACCAAGTCAGCCATTCACTAGCAGACGTCACCTGCGGAGTTGTTCTTCGCAAGGCTGGAAAACCCGGTGACCGACGACCCTATACTACCCTCTCGACTCTAAGCATTCAACCAGGAATCACTGATCCTCTCCAAGGTCTGCGTTGGGCAAACCTATAACAGCTATGAAGGAAAAAAAACTTGAGCCAACGGGACAGCCTCCACTGGACAAGTATCACTAACCAATCTCCCCATCTAAGATCACCAAAACAACTGAATCTGCAAATAAAAAAGGTGCTTTAGACACCAACGTCTTCGACGTTATACCGGGAGACGTTGGGAAAGAGCACTACAACTAGCCCCAAAGCTTCGGACTTTGTAATTTTTCTCCCAATCAGTCTGGGTCTTCAACAGCAAGCCAGAGAAGATCACCCTGAGGTATCCAGGCAGTCACAATTGCTGTTAACTGCAGTCAAGAAAGAGTTAACTTAAGAAGCTCACCGGTCTTTTTTAGGGCCATCGGACGTCGAACTACCTTGCCAACAAATATATTAGAACTTAACAAAGTTGACAGAAAACAGCCTTTAGGGGTCACAAAAATTTTAAGCATGCCAAAAGTCGCAAGAGGGTGAATTGGAAGAAAAACTTCAAATGTATCTAATAAATACAATTTTACTTAGGCGTCAAGAAACTGACGCAGAAAATTTATCGAGATTGAAACAGCAGCGTCAAAATTGACAATTAAAGAGTCCATTACGTGAAAGATCAGCTTTTCATTGTACCCTCACAGCAATCTCTGAAATCTTTAAAGATCCTACTTCAGATTTTTAATGAGTAGAAAATGTGTTTGAGTTTTTGTGGCAATAGAAATGTAGGTTTTAAGGTCCGGGACTTTGTTGCTCTGGTAATAAAGTTGTGAGATATGAGGAAAAAAATTTTTTGGGGGTTTAAAATCTTAACAGCTTTAATAAATAGCCGTTTTCGTGAATTACACGGAAGAAACTGTAAATCAACGGCTTCTTATGGCCACCGATTATTTTATGGCATAAAAAACGCACGGTACTTTTCAGCATAATAATTTTTTTCAATTTTTACACCTCATTATTTAACCAAATAAACTATATGGATTCCGAAAAAATATGTTTTTAATAAGAAGATTTTTGTTCTGAGATGTATCAGGAATATGTGTAAAATTTCTAACTGAAAATGTTTCACATTACATGTCAACACACTACGGTGTTTTATTTAGTAAGTCTCGGGCGAAGCCGAGACGGGGGGCTGTTAGTATTTAATATTCAAGACAAATCGACAACTTAACTCTCTAGGATTCTCAAAGCAGATCATGTACATAATGCTTTCGTGAATTCCATAGGAAAGTCCGTAGTGCAGTGGCATATCTCTATGAGGTAGATTCTCGATGTACTTTTTAGAAAAATCATGTGCCCCAACCGTTTGCATGACGACACACATCAGACCCAAGGCCACAACGATTTTTGCAGAAGGTAACATTTTTTCTAGACCTGTGTATAGATGATAATAATAATAATAATAATAATGTGCTTCTGATATGTGTTGTGGAAAAAAGGTGTGACAACTTCAATAAGTACTTACCCCGCACTTGAAGTTAGGCAACCGTTAACTGTCTCCAAAATCGATTCAACATCTTTTACACTATATAGGAGCGATAAGATGTCGTGAGATCACGTGATTTTTTTTACCGAGTTAATTTCGAGCTACTACACTATGTCCCTCATTCGATAACATTTTCTTTAAAGTGCGTCATAAAAGTGCTTCTTACTCCTTAAAAAAATGACTTCAATGACCATTAAACAATAGTTTTTAAAAGAACAGTGTAATAGATAAAATTATTATTATGCACGTATACCCTGCCGTACCAAAAATACGGATAAGAAAGTGGTGTAACAAAGAACTATTTTTTATATGATCTCATACACGTCTTTTTATTACCTTTAATTAATGTCCTAGAAATTTATTGAATACAACGTATATAATTACTTCGAAATTTGTTGCAAAAATTATTGTGGTTACATGAGCAATTTCATACTTATTTTACCCACAAACGTGCATATGATCGCTTGATATAGCTCATCTGTATAATAATTAAATTTATCTCAACTTTTCGCATTTTATTTAAATTTGATATTTTCGTCAGTTCTGTGAATGACGAAGTTGTTATGGATATTTTTGTACAATAACTTTCATCGTGTACAGTTTTTCAACTATATGTTTCTTTTACATCACAAACAAATCAAACACTTTTACTCTATAGTATTTTTATAATGTAAATGTATTTCGTTTTAATAATTTTTGTAATTTAGTGCAAAATTGGTTATACATGCTAAATAAACCACGTGATCTGCTATTGTGTAATAATTTATTATAATCATTTATGGAACAAAGTAGCTTTATTCACGCATTGACCAACGAAAAAGCACTGCAAATGTACTATCAGATGATTTAAGGGAAATTATAACTGAGAATGACATATAATAAAACGAGAAATATCTTACAACATTAATAAGTAGGTATAATAAAATATCCGAGTCCATAAGTCATAATTTATTTTATTATTATTATTATTATTATGATTGTTATTATTACGTGTCATGTCCACATAAACTATTATATGTGGTATGCAATTTTCCGATGACCATTTCATAGCTGAAATGTTAAATTTCAGTTAAACTGGGGTTTTCTTTTCTTTCGATCTGATAAATTAAAAAAAATAAATATCGAAAATTTTGAGATTTCATCGATTGCTTTATTTTCTAATGAGGTTTTATTAATTGTTAATCATCGATTTTACAGGGTAATTTGTTTGTTTACTTTCGCTCTTACATTAATTCTTTTCATCAGAATGTTTTGCGTTTGTGAATCAAACAAATTATATAATTTTTAAGAGTAATTCATTTAGTCGCAAATAGATTACAATGAATGCACCAAAATGAATCAATGTTATTACTCCATAAGCATGACACACTATACCAAAAGAGAAAACAATGTGGCTTACATTTCTTTCGCTTATTTTTGTGGTCTTTGCCAACATACATACTAAATAAATCTTATCTATGCAATAATGATGTTGCCACTAAGTTGTACAAATCTTTTTTTTTGAAACATCTTTTAGCTTTAATACCATCATATGAGTAAATGGTGAAATTATACGATTTTAAAAACCTTTATGTAATCAACATATATACAACCGAGAATATTGTATAAGAAACTTTTAAAAATTACGAAAAATTTGATTTTACCTTAGTAATAATTAAGGTCACAAGAGATTCTATTAAAGACACTAGTAATAGCCACTAATAATCAGTTTCAAATAGAGCCGATAACGAAGGTACTTATTGACTGGCATTGAT